AAAAAAAACCTAAAAATAGAAATTCCACTTGACCCAGCTATCCTCCTTCTAGGTATAGTCATTAGAGAGTTACAATCATGTTACAGGAATGCATGCACACTCGTGTGCACAGCATCACAATTTATAATAGCTAGAACTTGGAGATAGTGCATGTGTGTCCATTAACAGATGAACAGAAAAAGAAAACATGGTATTTATACACAAAAAGATGCAACAGTGGTGCCGTGGTTTACAAACTCAGTTTGCGCCATGATTCCAGTCACAAATCAAAGTGGGTGAGAACCAAATCAGATTTCCCATAAGACCAACACTGAACCGAGCCTAACTGGATTCCATTATCCCACATCTCGGTTTGTGATCAGAATCATGGAATGAAGTTCTGGATTCAAGGTACCAACCCCACTCTGCCATTACGAACGATACATCTGAGGCATTCGTAGCCAAACCGACCCAACTGGAGAACATAATGTTAAGTGAAGCAAGTCAGGTGTGTAAGCTCAAATAACACACGGGGGGCTGGCGAGGTAGCTCGGCAGTCTTAGGCAAGCTTAGGCAGGCGCAGGGGACTGAGGTTCAATTCACTGCACCACGTGCTACGCCAGCCCTGCCCTCCGGATGGGCTGAGCCAGCCAAAAAAAAAAAAAACAAAAAAAACAAAAACAAAAAAAATAGCACATGGTTTCTCTTAGATAACAAATTCAAATACATATACACATACATACATACATACATACACACGAATAAAATGCAAAATAGAAGACAGGTAAATAGAAAGTAGGGAGAAGTTCAAATAACTCGCCAAATTATCTATTTTGCTGCTTCAAGAATATTTTAAGATATATGCTATTTGGGGCCAGGGAAATAGCTCAGCGGGATAAGCGACTGCCTGGCAAGTACAAGGTCCTGAGTTTGAGCCCCAGTACCAAAAAAAAAGATATATGCTATTTTATTTACACTATTAGTTTCTCTTATTCATTGAAAAGTTTCGTGCTATCATCTGTTTATCCTTTGTAAGAGAATCTTTTTGTCCAAGAACCTACTGTGAAGATGATACAGTGTATAAACCGTAATCTTTACTTTTGTTGTATAT